CCCTGCCTGCCCCCCCAACTTTCCCGCAAAACACTACACTATATTCTTCTCTCAAATACTTTTCTTGACCTTTCACGACGCACCTACCACTAGTCGTATGGCATTATAGAGGGAACCTCTGCAAGCGTAGGTGCCTCACAAACTTACCGGGAGTCATGCTGGTACCTTTCACTACGTACCTACCACTACTCGTATGGCTTTATAGAGGGGACCTCTGCAAGCATAGGTGCCTCATGTTGGCCCCCGCCCCAACAGGTGTCGTCAGAGATAGGGTGGGCCCGGTGGGGCCATCAGTGGGGGTCCAGTTACGTAAAGGCCGAGCATGTTGCCAGCAGTTGGGCCTCCCTTTCTTTCTCCCCCAGCCCCCGTAGAGTAGAGCAGTGTCTAAAGCCAACACTTTACCACACACCACACCCAACCCAGTGATGCTCACACTTGCTTCTGTGTTTGCCAACGACCCTACTAATGCCCATCAGAGGTATCAAGCGGGCTATCACACAGCCTTTGTCCAAGGGCATCATCATTGAACTGAGCATCCCCAGTGAGCTCCAAATTTCCGTTCATCTGATTGCATCTGGATTCGAAAGCGGGTCATATTTCAACAGTTCGTGGGTGTACCAACTGAGCTGGGCTGGTTGGTTTACGGCTTTTCTCTTGTAGGAGAGCTGGGCCCGGCGGGTTGCAGCAGCCCTAGCATCAGTTTGACGTTGTGTCAGAAACAAAGGTGGGTGAAATGATCTATACCGATGGTTTTATAAGTGTTTTAATGGGATGCCCCACCTGGTTGCCGGCACAGTCTGACTGTCAGCCGTCCAGATGGCAGATCTGCACGGTGTACTATCAATTATAACACGTGCGAACCTATCTTGCGAGAAGTCGGACCGTGACCCGCGTGATGGTATACTAGGCCTGCCTTGCCGGTACCGTGGTGGGACCGCGCCCCATTGTACAGGCTGGGCATGACCAGTGCCACTGGTTTCGCACCCTTGGTGGGGTCCAGCATTTGGTGTTCGTGTCTTTTTCCCCCTTTACCGAACATCCGCGAGAGGAGGGCAAACTATTGGAGTGGACACGAGCCCGTCCGTCCGGGAGGGGAGGGCCTTTTTTTTTTTTTTTTTTTTTTTTTTTTTGAGCTTAGGGCCGTAATTCCAGTTCCTTTCTATTTTTTTTTATTTTTTTTGTTTTGTCCCTTTTTATTTCCTGGTTCTTGGGTACATAGGTAGGAGGCTCCAGCACCTACCCCGTCTACCGTAATGGTACAGTTACCAACATCAGGGGCGAAGGACGCACTAGCGTAGCAAAGAGGATTGGATTGAGCGCCCGAAGGTGGATGTGTTTTGCGTATAGATGCATAAAAGCAGGTCAACTGGCACTATTTGCACTTCTGCACAAACACGTCAGATTCGGGCTTCCCTAGTGGGCCCTCGCTCGGGGCTGCAGGGTGCATTTCCTTGTTCTTCTCGTGCGTGAGAGCATTCACCGATCTCCAAACCGTTCTTTTTTTTTTTTTTTTTTTTTTTCCTACGAGCCGTTCGAATGGAGCATCTATATTCAGAAAAAAAAAAAAGAGCATATAGTTTCTTCTTTTACATTTTATTTTAATTAAATTAATGTTTCTTCTCACACGCAATATGATCCCGGCTTCGCATGGAGGCCCTATATATCCAACCTCGGTGTGCCTATCCTCCATCGCCGCGCGGCAGAGCTGCAGCGCTCGTCAGCTACATTCGGCTGAGGTAAGCGGAGTAAAGATGAAGCTAGTCTATGAGAACATCGATCGTACGCCTGAACTAAGATGGACTCTTGACAACGAAAAAAAAAATAGAGAAACAGAATTGGAAAAGAGCGAGTCTTGGTGCGATACCGCTCCTGAGGAGCGGTCAGCTGTGGGAGAAAGAAGGAACGCCAACTCTCGCAGCACGTTTTCTGCTGCATGGCGGCGAGGAAGAGAGCCTTGCGGTCCTGCTATGGAAAGAGAATGCGTCTCACTCCCAGTGGAGGATCGCGTGTACTGCAGAGCGTGGGTCTCCTTCTCTCTCATTAGATATTGGCTATGGTGAGACGTAGACGCCACGTGGAAAGCGATGGTAAGGCTGTCCTCGTGGCCATGACCATGGGGCGAGAGGTCTCCCGATTGGTATCCTTCGCGCTGGTCATAGTGTGCTTATGCACTTCCAGCATAGAGAGTCGAAGCGACATCGTTGGACCGTCGAGCGGCGAAGGCAGAGGAGGAGGAGGAGGAGGAGAAGACGTGGGAGGAGGAGGAGGAGGAGGAGGAGGAGACGGAGGAGGAGGGGGAGGAGGTGGAGGAGGAGGAGGAGGAGGAGGCAGACGAGCAGAGTGTTTATGCACTTCCGGCATAGAGAGTCGAAGCGGCACCGTCGGACCGTCAAGCGGAGAACGGAGAGGAGGAGGAGGAGGTGGAGGAGGAGGCAGACGATCAGATAGAGTAGGAGAGGGAGTGGGAAGAGGACGTGGAGCAAGTGAGCGGCAGGCAGTGTCGTCTTCAGCACGGCGAGAGTTCGGTTTGCCGCGAATCCTTCCCACTCGCTGGCGACCTGGGAAGAGATCTGGAAGCAGGTCCCTTCAGTGGCTCGCAACGCCAACGAATCTAACTGTTCGTCGCGATGAGCCACTCTTTGTAAAGAGCAGCGCTGACACTGTGCTAAGGCAATGGCCAGCTTATCCTTTCGACGTCCTCCTGCGCGGGAGTCAGCTGTGTGTCTCTACCATCCAAAGCATGGTGCTTGCTCGGAATGAGACGGTTCTATATTACGTGCTTGAGGAGGTTTGTGTGGAGAACACCACCACACAGGCAGTCGTGACCAAACTACGCATGTCGATTAGGAAGGCTAATCTCGGCGCACGCCAGCGGGGCGCGGCAGTAGGGGGAGGAGAGGTGCTGAGTTACTGGTGGCCGGCCAGCTCCCCGAGCGGACAGGCACCTCCGTCGTCCGCCATCGCCGATCCCCGGAATCAAGCGGCGGAGGCCATGGCTTACGTGGCGGGCCTCGAGCTGACGAAGTCGGGCACCCACCTTGTTGTGTGCACCTACTCGAACGCCAGCAAATCGACGATCACCTTCCTGGATGTTACACGTGGCAACAGGCTGGCGCTCAAGACCGATGCGAACAATCTCAGAGCTGTCGCGATTGATCCGAGCAAGGGCTACCTGTATGCTGGAGATGAAACCGAACCCTTGAGTATTCTCTCGGTCTTGATGCCGCCTGGCGATGGCGGCGGCGGCGTTCCCGGTGGGAATATAACGGATTTCATGACGGTGAAGACGTTCCCGAAGGGTCGGGATCCCAACGTATCGGATATGCGATTCACCGGGCGCAGCTTCGATCCCGAGGGGAGGTGCGTGTACTTCACCGACGGTGTCGGCAATCAACTCTGGAGCTTGGATCTCGACTCTTCTCCGGGAACCGTGACCAACGTGTGCGGGTCGGGCGGGAGCGGAGGGCAGGATGGCGACGCCTCCGCGGCGTCGTTCAACAGTCCCACGGAGCCCGTCGTTACTAGCGACGGTTGCAATCTCTTCGTCGCGCAGTCTGGCGGGGCGCTGCGCTGGATTGCGCTCGAGTCGCCGTGCGGAAGAGCGCGCACAGTGAGTACTGTGGGGAGAATTGGCGGGGTCGGAATCCGATCTCTAGCCTTCTATTTCAACGGCTCCGTTGGGAGCCTGTACCTGGGCTCGAACGACGGTAAGGTGCTTAGGCTAGAGGTGAACATGAGCGCGTTGCACGTGTGTGACTCCGATCCCCCGACGGCGGCAAACAGCCTTAGCTCCCCCTCCGCGGGAATGTCGCGCTCGAGCTCCGACACACCAGTCGAGATCGATCAGTCTCGCGATAACAGGTCAGGCCTCAAGGCGATTGCGATCCTTGTCCCGATCGCCGGTGTCGCGATCCTCGCTGTCGTGGTTGGAGGCGTCTTCTTCGTGCGCTGTCGTAGGCGGCACGGCCCGCGGTCGTCGTGCTCGGCCACGCTCTCCTTCATCGTCAAATCAACGGTCGGCGGAGGCTGCGGGCAGGACGGCGGGCTGCAGCTCCCCACCGCGCGCGAGTTCTCGCTCGCGCAAGTCGCCGCTTGCACGCGCAATTTCGAACCCCATCATCTCATCAGCGGGTACAAGGGGGCGTTCGGGGAGTCGTACTGGGGGAGGATTGGAAACCGACACGCTGCTATGAAGGTCATACATGGCTTCCTGACGTCTCCTAAGCGGCGGCAGTTCGTGTCGGAGGTGAATGCCCTCAGCCGTCTCTATCACCCAAACCTCGTCGAGCTCATAGGCTACTCTCAGGCGGGGAACAGATCCGTCCTGGTCTATCAGTTCTTCACGGGGGGCAGCTTGCATGTCCGCCTGCACGACAGGGCGGGGATGCGCGGGGGACAGGCTCCCCTTCCGCCGCTGACGCTGAGCGAGCGGGTGTCCATCGCTTCCCAGATCGCTAGCGGGCTGAGCTATCTTCATCATGTGGCAGATCCGCCGGTCATCCATGGGGATGTCAAGAGCAGCAACGTTCTCTTGACTGGAGGATCTGAGGAGAATCTTTACGCCGCCCTCTCCGATTTCGGATTGACTACAATCCGGGAGCATGTATTTGGAGCGACGCAGGAGACTGTTGTGGCGACGGCGTGCGACGCTGGCACGCACGGCTATATGGCGCCGGAGTACTTAAAAGGAGGTGTCTGGACAAGGAAGAGCGACGTGTACGGTTTCGGGGTCATCGTGCTCGAGCTGCTGAGTGGAAGGAAGGCGGTGACACCGCGAGATTCATCTTCGGGAGGAGGGTGGGTGACGATCGTTGATTTGGTCAATGAGCTTACTGAGCGTCCGCAGCTCGATCTCGCATGGGCCATGTTGGATGATTACCTGCGGGCGGACGTCGCGAGCAGCCTTGCAAACGCGCTCTTAGTGCGGGAGCTGTTCTGTTTGGCAAAAGATTGCGTTCAGGAATCCGAAGAGAGCAGGCCGGCGATGGACGCCATCCTTCAGATGATCGGGAACATCGTTACAAAAGCGGCAAGCCCATTCCGCAGCTAAGTGTTTGTTTGTGTGTGTGTGTGTGTGTGTGTGTGTGTGTGTGTGTGTGTGTGTGTGTGTGTGTG